ACATGTATTCCCCACCCAGTTCCTTAGCTTCTCGGGAGTATGGTCTGGTGATGAACTCACGTCAAGCCATGGAACGTCTGGCTGCCGCTGCTGGGAAACCTGCAGGTCTGTTAGCAGAGGTTGGTAAGGATGTGCCACCTCACATCAGACAGGTGAGTGCAATGGGAGAAAAAGTTAACCTTGCATTGTCTTGTACTCCTTATCTAGTCGAAAACTAACAAACAAACAAACAAATGCCGATTATTATAAGTAAAACGTAGCTGAGCGTTTGAAAATTGTTCCCGACTTCAGTTTTAAATCAGTCGAATGGAAATGTTTTTAACAGTAATGGTGATAGTTTCCACGAAGCAAAATACCTTGGGTTAGTCCACCACCACAGTTACTTTTCAGGTTAATGGAAGGGTTTAAACTGTTGGACAGTGTATTAATTCGGTCAACTATTTGCTACTACCTTGATAGGACATTGAACGTGAGAGAGAGAGGGAACGGCAACGACTGAGTCTGGAGCAAATCGAAGCCAATAGAAGACTTCTTCATGCAGAGCTCAAAGACAAAGTTAACCCTCTTGTATTCAGTAAAGAACATCAACTTAGAATGGAACAAAAGCGAGATCACCTGGACGCAATGAGAGCGCGGGACAAACGAATCACCGATCGCGAACGCCTTCTCTTCATGGAGAGAATCGCGGAGGAGAGAAAGCGAAGATTCAGTGAAATAGATTGTCAAGGTGGAATTATCATGCGGCATCCTTCTCCTCCACATTTCAGTCACGTATCGGATCGAGAGGAGTACGAAAGAGCGAAAAGACTTAAACTCATGGAGCGTTCAATTTCTCCGTCCGCTCAGCACTCCAAGCACTTGAGCCCCAGTGCTAATGCGCTCAATCTTGAAAGGAAAGACCGACCTCAGATCACGAGTCCCAAAAACCATATAATGAACTCTTCGCAAGTAAGAGACAAACTGGGTGAAGCTGGTGACGTCAGAGTCAACCGTCCTCTGGAAAACGAACATTTAAGAAAAGCAGCAAACAGTGTGATGTTTGAACGGGATTCTCCGTGGCATCGTAATCGCGACCAAGCAATGAGACCCAATCAAGCAGTTATTGATCGCAAAAGAGCTGAAGCGCACATGAGTGCTCCCTTACAAGGGCTCATTGCCTCCAAGGGAGGTCCCCTTACATCTCAACGAGAGGAAAGTAAAGGTACCGGGAAGGCGGAACACGATGGAGTCAACCGCTGCTCAGTGTGCAAACGTGAAGCCTCGTTCCTGTGTTCTGGCTGTCAAGCGGCCTGGTACTGCAGCTCCGAGTGTCAGGTAATTGTTTTGAGGTGATAAGCATGTAGATTCTCTTTGCAGTATAATTAGTAATACAATTTTCCAACAAGAAATGTATAAGGATCGTCCCAGATTCCGGAAGGTCTAAGGTTCGGCCTCCTACCTTTTTCTTTTGTCTGACGCCCGTGACAAGTAAGAACATCTTCCTTTGGTTGATGATGTTATTCAACAAATTTTTGGTGTTCGCATTATTGATTTCATTAACCCTGTAACCCCTAAGAGTGACTAACATCTAATTCCTCCTTAAACATCGCCCCTGAATCAAACGTTACGGTTATGAGGATAAAGGAGATGATCACCCACTAAAGAAACTCTTGATGGTTGAACAAATTCTCCTTGTTAGAACCCTAGGAAATTTCTAGGGAGTAGTATGGAGAATAAGCATGCAGATATTAGGGATTAAAGGGTTAACAAATAGATTCCCTTTTGCCGTACGTCTGCTCAGTGATAGATGACGTCAAAATGTGGTAAGAACAGAAAAGTGGCTCACGGGGCGTAGCCGAGTGTATCACTGATGTCCCTACCACATTTTGGCTTCTTTGTGATCTATTACTGTACAGACAAACGACAAAATGAGATATTTTTATTTCATATGAGAGAGAAGCAAAACGCTCTAAATGATGACGTCCTCCGTGCGTCTGTCCTCCGATAGATCATTAGTAAGAACCAATCAAATTGCGTGTATAATGCAGCTTATCGTAGAACATGGAATAGTGGCATGCAGTAAGCTCATGAATTTTTTTTTTTAACTTGCAGCTCTCCGCGTGGGGAACTCACAACAGGGAATGTAACCAAAATAAGCGTTCTTAGTTCACTTCAAGTTCCATATCTCTTCACCGCATCTCCTCTGCGCGACTCAACACAGGGAATTTTTTTTTGGACATTTCTGCGACGGACAGTTCAACTGATCGTTTAATGTATTTACTGCACCTTGTTATTCTGGAAAAAAATGAATGTGTGAGCAAAAAAAATTGGCTGAAACAATAGTTGGTTTACATACACTAAGGAATTATGTAAGTTGAAGGGTTATGGTAACAAGTCGTAGCTTGTGAACAGGCTCCCACTTTTAGTGCGTCGGCACAAGTTTTTTCGCCTGCGGTAAAGTAGAAGGCCTGGGCAGCACCAGTCGGCGAGAGGTCTGAAGGGGTCCAACAGTGATTTAAATAGTGCCAGACTCTCGGTAAACCTCTCCTCGACTCGTCTCAAATCTTCCTGCGGGCGGAAAAACACGCTTTCTTTAGCGCTGATAACGAGAGCATGCTCGCAAGCTAAAGGCGTCGTAAAATAAAGTATTTTAAAGAGTTTCGGAGACGGTACAACGAAACAATGCCTTTGGAAAATAAGTTTACATGAGTATCAAATTACTTAAAATACAATTTAGGCTTAGTATTTTTGCAAATCACAAACCCACTATCTCCGGTAGTTAGGGCTTTTGAATTTTTCTGATTTACGTTGAGAGAATAACGTATAAACCGTACTCCAAACATAGATTTCTAATCTTAAATGCGGTTTCCTTTAGTAAGGCATTGTTGTACTCATTCATTCATTCTTCAAAGCCCATGTTTTGTATATAGCTTTTTATGAATGTAAAAGAAAGGAATTTGGGTCTCCCCCAAGATGGCGACCACGAGTTAACGTCGGAGATGTTAACTTGAGGAAAACTTAATGACATTTTTTCACACGAAATTCACGAGGAGCGAGATTTTGTTAGATTTTATTTATCTGAAAAATAGGAGAAAGTAACCCTACGTTGAAAATGAAGAAGGCATTGCAATTTGTCCAAAAGTGTGATCGGCAACTTCACCCTCATTTCATCTTTCGCGGATTGTGATATCAGTCATGTAAACGAAGTACGTATTACTATGCTTGGAAATTAGCTCCGCAATCTCTTTCGCAGACATTTATTGCTATCACGCAATGTGTCACGCAACTTGGAAGAACTTTTGCATGACAAAGCAAGAATTAGCCGCGTAAGAGACTAAGTATCATTAGAAATTCGTCGTAGTAAGGGCTGCTCCCCTGGCGTTTTGAATATTGGTGTAAACTAAGATATAAAATGAATTTCAAATCTCTAATTTAATTTATGTCAGACATCTATTTATGTATGTAAATCTTAAATTATGTTGGATTAGAAGTGTAGAATTTTTAGTAAAATGTATTTATTTGTGGATACAAATCTGTGTCCGTGGAGATTGTATAAAGAAAAAAGATAAATGTCGTTTTAACAAATAAAATGCTTTGCATTTAAAGCATCCTTTGTCAAAAGACTTTTATCTATAATGTGATAATTGAGATATTTCGAACTCCTTGATTGGTCAAAAACCTATCGTTTATTGCATTGGTAAACCCACAGTCCTTCGAAAAATTTGAAAAGTTTTTCTTTCTTGTTTTCTCCCAACATCCTGCGTGAGTTATTTAGCCAGTAAGCTAATAAAAAAAGCGGTCCCTATTACTTAATCAGATTTCCCTAGATGCTTGCGTGTTCTTGGGAAGATTTCTTCGTCAAGTTTAGTGCTAGGTTTTTTCAGAAGCGGCGAAGTCAAAGGCAAATGAATTGTGAGAGCGCTATTTCGCTCACATCGTAAGCTTGGTCCAGTTGTTCTTTTGAGGTTTCATTTGTCCTTGATTGGTCTTACATGTTCCGCTCTTCTTCTGTTATACTGTACTACTGTTCCACTGCTCCGCTGCTCCACTGCTCCACTGCTCCACTGTTCCACTGTTCCACTGTTCCACTGTTCTACTGTTCCACTGTTCTACTGTTCCACTGTTCTACTGTTCCACTGTTCTACTGTTCCACTGTTCTACTGTTCCACTGTTCTACTGTTCCACTGTTCTACTGTTCCACTGTTCTACTGTTCCACTGTTCTACTGTTCCACTGTTCTACTGTTCCACTGTTCTACTGTTCCACTGTTCTACTGTTCTGTTCTACTGTTCCACTGTTCTACTGTTCCACTGTTCTACTGTTCCACTGTTCTACTGTTCCACTGTTCTACTGTTCCACTGTTCTACTGTTCCACTGTTCTACTGTTCCACTGTTCTACTGTTCTACTCTTCCATTATACATCCATTCTACTATTCCTCTATTCTACTGTTCCTCTAATCCATTGTTCCTCTAATCCATTGTTCCTCTATTCCATTGTTCCTTTATTCCATCGTCCACGTAACTGAAAGGGACCCTTCAGTAGTGGTTCCCGCAATAGGGAAAGCAGTTAGTGAATTCATAATTTTTAAGCCTAACTGCTGAAAAATTCAACAGCAGGAGTAATAACAAAGACCTTCGAGAAAAGGGCCTGCTCATGCTTATAATATAAAGCTTTTTATATAAAAATTACTTTATCATCGAGTGTTTATGATACCATTGACATGAAAAGATAAATTGATCCGTATTCACCGATGGAAAAGTAAAGCTCTGTTTATTTTCAAAACATACTTTCATAAAATATCCAGGCATTCCATCATCGCATACCTAGTCAGCGCCGTTGATGACATTTTTTAAGTGTGCTTTTAAAATAACTCCTCCTTCAGTCTTTGGGCTCTCCACCTGTTGTGGTGGCTCCGTGCCAAACCCCACAAAAATCGCTAGCTGTGTCAAACGTGACCTGGCCTCGACCGTGACGAAAATCGATCAATCGTGACCCACAATTCATTTCGAACGCGCCACGAGTTCGACAGTCACAGAAGAACGTACGTGCCTGGCATGGCTGGGTAAGCGTGCGATGAGTTGGTTGACATTCCTTCACATGTGTAAGGCTTCCACGATTACAAATCTCTCCTGGCCATGAGTGTACTGTTTACGGAGGAGGAAGTGCATCAGACAATCGAATTCGTGCGTCGATTTGTTGCACTTCGACCCGACGCTTTCGGAGAGGACGAACCCCTACCATTTCGAGTTACCCCGCTATCTATTTCTGTCAACGAGTTGGAGGGAGAATGCATCGAATGGTGTATGCAGTACCTCAATAAAAGGCAAGGGCTGTTTATAATCCTTACTTATGAATAATTGAGCCATTTTGGGGTGAGATAGCAGTGTTTACTCTAGCGTGGAATCTGTCCTTCGTGTTGCGTGTGTTTACATAGAGTTTTGAATACTGCAATAGGGATTGGCATTCAAAATGTTCTGTTTAAAAAATTAAAATGATGTAAGACCCCTGTCCTTTTGTAAAGGAAGAGGAACTTTTCACGCTTGAGATTGTTTTGTGTAATTGTGGTTTCGGACGTGAAGAAACTAAAGAATTCAGTTTAACAAGCTTGGACGGTGATTGAATTTATTTCTAAAAAGATTTTCTACTCGAGGCGAGATAAGCTCATACAGAAAAGTTAATTAATCAATATTATCATGTTCTAAGCGTGTTTTGAGCGAGAAATTACTTCATTATGTTTCAAGTAACAGGTTTGAGTGAGTGTAATTTAGTTTAATATTACCTCAAACTTCAATATGCGGCATTTTGTAGCCAATATTTCGGTTGTCAACGTAAATCGTCAATATCTTTCAGATATAAATAGTAAATGAGTTACAGATCGGACAGTCGATATTTATCATGGGTGGGTGTTGATATCATCTTTCCAATAAAGGCTGTTCAAACGAAAAAAAATAACTGAAATGATATTGTAGAGTCGGTGCGATTAATTATTGTACAAGAATTTTCAAAGCTTAAAGTACAGTTGAGTGTGATTTAACGCACATCCCTTTGAAGAAAACATTATCACTGAAAATTGACTGAAATATCAGTATGCACTTGTGGTAAACTGGATACACTAAAATTCAAGTCATTCTAATTTAACTTTCTGTAAATGTCGCTCACACTGTTTCAACCAGTGTGAGCGACAGGAGTTGGCTTGCTGTTGTAGCATAATTAATGTGAAAATTAGGTTATCAATGTACGATTGAGTTAGGCTTTTAGCTTATGGGATGATCAGGGCAGACCACTGTGCAGTTGATGTGTTCAGCAAACCACATGATTACCACCCTGTTGAGAGAAAACCTATATTTAATTATAATTTTCTGGTAGAAGAGAGAGACATCTTTTTTTTAAACTAAGCTTACAAAAGCAATGTGTGAGGTTTTTAGACTTTGATACGAATGAGATGATTGTGTAAAGAGCTGTTCCATAGTCCAAGGATCAATCAAGGAAATGTTGTTTTCCTTTTTAATAACAAGACCTGCAGGTAAATATGCTTAAAGATCAATAGGTTAAGTGTCATATACCCCTTTTGCACAAGCAAAACATGTTTAGTTAAACCAGCTGTAACTGGATGAAAATCAGAAACAGAGAACTGCGAAAAACTGAAAGAGGATCCAAGTTATTGCTTACTTATCTTTCAATGTGCTACTTTTAAAGTCGGCAAATTTTTTTGGAAGCAGCTTTAGTGATGGTAGAAAGCCAGCATGAAATGACAGAGAGTATTGTGACTTTCCCCTGCCTTTCCTTTTTCCTCCCAGGTTTCCCAAGCAGTTTAATCCTTTCAACCCTAAGAGTGACTAGAATGTAATTTCTCCTTATCAGAATACTGCTGATCATTAAAAGCATAAGAATAAAAGAAAGGATTGAATAGCTTAGAAGCTTCTATTGATAAATGAAATGTTTTGCTTAAAGCATAGCAAAGTGACCTGACTAAGGTTTTGACTAGTATCTTGTGATCTGACTCCTGTTTATCCATATAACTCATTTTTTGAGCATGGTGTTTTGTTTTCAGTGGAGCACCTGAAGCTGTGGCTGCTCTTATAACTCGTGCCACCGTTGATGAAATCAGCAAAAAAGATCTCTCCATTTATAGGCATGAGGAGGAAAAGGATGCTTGTGAGTACATTCAGAATGCATAATGCATGTGTTCCCAAATTGTCTCCCCTCAAGTACTGTAATTTTCATCGTTATTAACTCTATTGACCTAGATAGAATTTCTCCTTACACTATCAGTGCAATGTCAAGGAGACAAGTAATGAGAATACAGAAAAATGTCAATTAGGGAATTATTGTTTGATCCAATTCCAAATTCTTCAAACTAACATAATTAATATTAGAAGACATATATATCAGACAGTAAGAAGAATTACTGGTTAGATCTTGGGAGTGAAAGTGAAAGGATTGAAGAATTAACTAAGGCCATGAAAATTTTGCCATTGAATTCTGTGCCATAGCCAAATACCTATTTTGATTCCTGGTGCCCCATGAGCCTCTGGCTCAACATCATTTCACTGTGAGGAGTAACTGCGAAGGAATTTCTCAGTACGATATCAATAAATTTTAATCAGAAAAATCTGTTGACACCTCGTGCATCAATTTCAACCAGAAACATGGCTACATAATTCTGAGTTAACTAAGTATAATAATTGATAGATGCCACACATGTGTAACCTTACAATATTTTTTCTTTTTTTTTTTTTGATAGTACTGGACTCCTCCAAAATTGCCAGAGATGCCATTAATAAGGTTATAGAGATTTGTAGGCAATGGAGCAGTGAGCTGCCCTCCTTTCACAAGTCAAAGATCACGTATGAATCATATGCTCATGCTATCAAGAACACCAGAAGAAAAATGGAGGATAGACATGTTATCTTGCCTGAATTTAACTGTCTCTTTGGATTTCCACAGGTAATTTTTTACTCTTGAGATGTTGCTGTTGTTTAACCTGTTAAGTTGAACTCAGCTCAACTTTGCAGGTAAGACAGCAGTCAATGCCTGGGACAGGTCATGAGTTGGCACTAAATGTTCACATACAGTACATGTGCGCCATAACATTGTCCTTGGGCATGCCTGCAGCTGCTCTGCCAGCTGTGTTTGCAATAAATGCGAACTAGGCTTAACTGCTGAAGTTTATTTCATTTTTTGTGGAATGATAGAAGTATGAGTATTTCTTGTCATTCTGTCAAATAGGATATATACTTTGTAAGCTCACCACATGTAACCTTCCCCCCTTTTCCCCATGGAAATTGTTCAATATCCTGTACCGCAATAAATTATTAAATTATCTATTAATATCTTGATATGAGATTTTATTCTCTTTTGATAAGGGCTTCAGCAATCAAGCATTCTTTGCTGTATATGATGGTCACAGTGGAGTGGATGCTTCCAATTTTTCTGCTACTCACCTTCACTGTCATCTTGCAAGGAACAAAAACCTTGATATTGATCCTAGACTTGCTTTGAAAGAAGCATTTGAAAAGACAGATGAATGCTTTGTAGCAAAGGCCAAAAGAGAGGTAATATTTCTAGTCTGGCTGTAACTGCAGTGTTTTACAAGGATCCATAAAATAATGCATGGTTGCTTGTTAATATGGAATTTCTCTTCTCATACTAAACTAGATATTTCACTTGTTCACTGAACTCATTTACGAGATATTGCGTCGAACACTCAGAGAAATTCCAAATTTATGCACACCCTTGTGTAATTCTCTATGTAATTGCCAGTGTTTCTTCTTCATTGCTTGTTCTATACTTGTCAATGACTGATAAAATAGAACTTAAGGGACACTATGGTGAAGAAGATTATACTGTATTTATACTGTATGTTATTAGGACTTAGAAGTGTGGTTTGTGTTTTGTAAGTGCACCTCCAATTAATTTACAAATTAATCCTTTCACTCCCAAGATCTCATCAGTAATTCTCCTTACTATCTGCCATACGATTCTTATGATGTTAGTTTGGAGAATTTGGTATTGGATCAACTAAAAATCCCCTAGTCCTAAATCCCCTAAATTTCTCCAGTTTACAGAAAATCACCCTCTCACTCACAAAATTGGTGCAGGACTGCAGGTCTTAGAAGCATTGTAGGGGTTGACTGCCAGCATTCCATGAAACCTGTGGGAACCTCAGCCAGACAAAGAGAGATCCTCTTAGTTTTCAAAAGTGCTCTTTGCAATTTATCCATATAAACATCAACTTCTCTTCGTGATATGGCCAAGGGAGCAGTTTGAGAGAATGACACTGGCTGCCTTGTGTTTGTGTTTGTGTTGCCAATGTCCATCAAATTTTTAGTGAGGATACTGAGGATAACATCATACATTTCTGCAAAATGAATTGAGACAGAACATGAAAGGCTTGTCAAATTTGACGTTTTCTCTTTTCTCTTCAAAAAATTAGGGTCTTCGAAGTGGTTCCACAGGTGTAGCTGTGTTTATAAAGGGTCAATCGCTTTATGTTGCATGGTTGGGAGATTCACAGGTTGTACTGTGTAAAGCTGGGCAGCCATATCTCCTCATGGATCCCCACAAGCCAGATAGAGAGGTATGATGTAACACTGGAAACTTGGTAGAAAACATCAACAGACTCAATTTGTTACTAAAATATATACCTGAGGTTTGTACAGGTCTTGGCAAACATTGAAAGAAATGGAATTTTATAATTTCATTTTCCAGGCCTGGAGAGTCTTTGGATTTAGGTTTGGCTCTTGGAAAATCATGGAAAGTTGTAGAAAATTAACTGGCTTTGAATGAGTGTAAAGATAGATCCAAAGTTGAAGAATTAACCAAGTTAAAAAATAAAATTTAATTTCAGTATAAATAAATATCAGCGCATGTTGTAAGATCTGCGCTTGTAAGATCTGTGCTTGCGGCCATTTTTGTTTATACTGCATTCTTATATGACAATTTCCTAGATTTGTGTGTCATTTGGAATGAACCAATTAGTACACTTGCTTAACTTAGGTCATGAAATTTTTTGAAGAGTGATAGAAAAAGTCATGGAAAGTCACGGAATTTTTGCAGCTCAAAAGTGTACAAACCCCTAATATCTCTTACTAACCAAGTTCAAGGTCTAAATTGTAAGTTATGGACCAAGTTATTTCTGCTTGAATTTATGGCCCAAGTGTAAGGCATGCAGGTCATAAATCTTGAAGCGGAAGAAAGGAATTTCCATAACTTACAGTGCAAACCAAGAAAGGAGGGTAGTAAGATAATTTTTATGTCTCTGGCTTCAAATGTAGGAGAAAGCTTTCAATTCAAACAAACTTTTGAATTTATTGGGCTTTAACCCTTAAACTGCTAGTTCAAATTTGTCATTCTCCTTACTGTCAACCATACAATTCTTGCAATGTTAGTTCAGAGAATTTAGAATTGGATCAGCTAATTATCCCCAAATTGATATTTTTCTTTATTCTCATCACTTGTCTACTTAATATTGTATTGATATTGCAAAGAGAAATTCTGTCATGGTCACTCATGAGAGTTTAAGGGTCAAAGTAAAAATTGACTAATCAAAGTGCATGTAGTAACTGAGAGATATAACAAGCTCCTATATTTCTTGGTGTGGAGCATGTTTAGCTGGCAGGTTAAGTCCAAGGACAACAAAATGAGCTTCTTTTTGTGCCAAATGGAGCCTATTTTAGGTATAACCCTAACACTGTTTGGTGTTCAAAATGGATATGAACACCTTACCTTAAAAAGTATTGTGAATCATGTGTTTTGTGTTAATTTCAATTTCTGCAACTTTTTAGTGATTTCTAGTTTGGTGTCACTCTCAAGCAAAATTTTCTTCTTGTTTCAAAGACAGTCACAATATCATCTCTTCTGTTATTAAATAACCATCTAGTGTCATGTTGGCCATAAAAGGGAATACTTGAACAGGTTTTACTTATAGCATTTTGAGATGAAACTATTTTCTTTGTTCCTATAACCATATCCGTTTATTTACAGTAGCAATGATATTGTAAAGAGAAATAATACGTTGGTCACTGGTAGGGATAAAAGGCTTTTATGATTGATCAAGACAGAATTTCTCCTTAAAATATCCATAGAATTGTGTGGCATACAGTTAGAAGAATTACTACTGCGATCTTGAGAGTAAGAGGATTAATCAGTAGGAGTGGTTTAGTGGAAGTTCTCCTCCGTGTTTTCTTGCACACCAACTGATGTGGACTATATTCAGCAATGTGTTTTTAAGTTTTTGAAGTAATAAATATTTTTTACTTCTTTTGAAACAATTGTTAACAGATAAAGGTAAATTGCTTCTAGGATGAAAGACAGCGTATTGAAGCTCTTGGAGGTTGTGTTGTGTTCTTTGGTGCATGGCGAGTAAATGGAAGTCTCTCAGTCTCCCGAGCAATTGGTGATGCTGAGCACAAGCCTTACATAAGTGGAGAGCCAGACACAGAGGAATTGGATCTTGAAGGTATTGTAACTTACCATACCAGGCACTTATTTGAAATTTTGGCCAAAGGAGGGGGGCCTATTGGAAGAGGGCCTTAATTAAGGGGGGGTGCCTATTTTTCTTCTGTTTTGGTTCATCTGTAGGTGAAGCTTTAAAAGTTGTAAATAAAGTGGCATTAGAAACAGGTTTTCCTTGTGTTCCTGCTATCAAAGAAAGGGATGAAGGGGGTACACTTATTCAAAAGAGATGCTTGTTTTACATTACGGCCTAGTGGGTGGGCACTCATTTGGGGGGAGGTCACTTATTAGAGTGAGGGAGCTTATTCAAGGAAAGGCAGTATTTGATCTAGAATTGCAGGTTTGGAAAGAAGGATAGCTCTGTTTAATTTAATTTTGACTGTTTCAAAGATCCTCTTTAATACCCTCTTCCCAAATCAATCAAAAGAGTTGTCATCTGGGACTCAGTTGTGAACAAGTCTGATACCTCTCTCTTTTAGTTAGCTCCTTTCCCATCCCCTCCCCCTTCTGAAAAATGGTAGTAACAAATAAATCCCTCTAGATGCTAAAAACAGAGAATGCATGTAGGATAAGTGTCTGAAAAGGAAAGCCAAGTGCAAGGAATTGTTAATATTGAATAACATGTTCGTGTTACTCAAACTCCATTGTATCTTTAAATCTTTACTTTGTTTACTTTCTGAACAGGTGATGAAGACTTCCTAATCTTAGCCTGTGATGGTTTGTGGGATGTAATTAAACCATCTGAGGCTGTGGATGCTGTGCGTCAGTACCTTGCTGAAGGGGGAGATAGGGCATCTGTAGCAAAGTGTCTTGTGGATGGTGCAAAAGAAGCAGGTTCTAGTGATAACATTTCAGTAGTTGTTGTCTTCTTGGACTCTCACAAGAAAGAAAATTCTGGACAAGAAGTTTGTGACAGTGTTTCCAGCTTATCATCAAGCAGTGTGCATCAACATGTGCCTTATAATGACAATGGTACTAATTCTTCTGAAAATGGCACCAACCAAGAAACTAATTGTGGAGATTTGGTTGAAAAATCACCAGTACCACCATGTAAAGTCTCACCAAAATCAATCAAGAAATCCTGTGAACCGTCATCTAAATCTTCTGAGGATGGAAGTTCATGTAAAGAAGGGAGTTGTCCAATGACATAATATTGAATCAGCCCCTCAAATCTCATCAGTCACCATGCATTCTCTTTTATAGGATATATTTTAAAAATAAATTTTTATAACCGCAATTTTTGAAAATATGACGCAATTCTTATGAAGAAAAGTTTTCACCCTGAAATAGTGGTGGTCCATTTCTATCAACTATTCAAAAGCCTTTAAACATCTGATGTGTTCATAAATGTAAAAGAAAAAACTGAATGTGAGGAATTTTCTTTTACAAGTTTTGATTTCAAACAGTCATCTACTGGATAAAGGTTTGTCAAGGCTGAGAAAATTATTTTCAAGAACTTATTTATTATCTTATTAGAGTTGCTCACTTGAAATACAGATGGACAGGAAAAGACTCAGTTTTTGCTGCAAGCAGAAGTGAACAAAATTGTTGTTTATCCATTTTCAACAAGGAACAATATTTATTAAACCCTCTTAGACATCACAACTGTTTTGTAAGAGGTCTGCTACATGATTGTAAAATGAATTTTCACAGATCCACCTCCACCTTGCATGTTTTCAAAAAGCGCAGTAACTGTTGTCAAACTTTTTTTGCAACAGTGCTATTTGTGCGCAAATATCATGGTGTGGTTGGTACATTCATTGAAATGTAACTTGTAACTCGAGGATTGTAGGTGCATTGAGAGGGAATTGCCATCCTCAAGACAGAACATCATATAGAATGACCTTAAACATTAATTAACATGTGATATTATTGATGCAAGTTAGCCATATGTTAAGATATGTTTATTGATTACCTTTACCATACAATGGTTTGTAATTAAAAGCTGTTTACTTTACATCAACCTTTTGACCCCAAAGAATGACAAACATCTAATTTCTCCTTACAATATCACCCCTGAATCACACATCAAGGTCATGAGAGTATAGAAAATGATCACTAACTGAAAAAAAAAGCTGTTGGTTGTTAAACAAATTCTCTTTCAAGAACAGTATGTAAAGGATTAAGTAAACAGAAATTTACAGTAGGATCTGACCAAGGGTGAAAATGACTTAATAGTTATATATTTTATATATATTGTAATTAACTGAGAAGAAAAATGTGAAACTTATACATATTACTATACATTTAAACATAAATTGAAAGGTATGTTTTGTGGTGTGTGAGTTTACTCTTTGGTTTTAATTTATGTTGGATGAACAAATGGGTGATTTTGTGAGATTAATTTGACTGGATATTAAAAATTACCCCTTTGACTCTAAGATTAACCAGCATGTAATTTCTTTCGACAATATTACTGCTGAATCATTTATTAAGATCATAGCAATAAAGTAAATGATCACCAGCCTAAAAAGCTTTGATGTTTAAATAAATTCTCCTGAGAAATTGTATTAAGGACAGTATGGAGAAAGTGGATACTGATGTCAGGGTGTGAATTCATGTCGGGTATAAAGTTAAATCTTCTCGGATGAGCAGGCGTACGAGAGCTGCATGGATGAGTTAACATGTTAGATAAATAACGCTGCTGACGGTCCAACTCAAACAAGTTAATTCAAAGAGGGGTTTAAGGGTTCTACGAGGCCTCCTTTTCTGCCCCCGGGATTAAAAGAGTCTGGGTCAATAATGTGTACTTTTAGACAAGGTCTTTTATATTCTCTTAGTCAAGCGTATACTTAACTTATGCAATGTAACCACTGTTTCTGCTCCGTTTCCCCCAAATAAACAAAGCTCTCAAAAACGCGCGTTAATTCAGTAATTAAATTAACTGTACTTTGCAGTCTCTGGTTTGTGAAATGTGGTCGAACTAAGTAACGCAAGTGATGAACTGCCCGTAAGTTGCTTTCCTGATCACAATTGTCGAAGCAGTTCTGTATTTTGGCGGTGTTTTTTGTAAGAAAGATTTGTTTCGTGTCAAGCTTTGCCAATGAAGAGAAATTCTTAAGCTAATTAGCTTGAATTAATTTAAAAGTTTTAAAACCATCGGGCTGGCTTGACGTCTCGCTATCAATGGTTCTTTTTGTTCTTGTTGTTTTTGTTTTTTCACATTACTATGTGCATTGCTTGCCTATAAAGATTTTTTTACTCAATTTTTAGCTGCGATAAGAGAGAGAGGAAAAACTGGCGGGATATAAATTCATCCGAAACTTAACAATTCAACCGCCAACATTCAATACAAAGAAGCCCTATCGCTTATCTCAGCAGGCGCTGTGTAGAGAGCGGTCTCTACAAAGTTTAATGCGGATTCTGCAAAGTTTGCTCGCTCTTGGTAAGTTTAAAATCACCAACATTTAATTTGGGAGCACTCGCTATACTGAAAATTATAGTCGTGGACAGTAATCAAAGGGATTAATTTTGTCCTCGTGAAGGTTTTCTTGTACATCGAAGACACCTTAGTCTTAAAGTGCATCCCACCACTATGGCGGATAATGATACTTATCGTACATCGGGGATTAAGGTGGATTCCCATCGCATTTCTTTATTTTTTTTTTCAAATTATTCTAATGCACTAGGGGTTAAAAATCCCGGATTATTGCAAGGTAAACTAGGTGCGAATTAAATTAGTTTGACGGCTTTTTAAATAGGCCCGTTTCTCAGAAGTCCCGGTAAGTTAACGAGCACGAAACTATATTTTACAATCAAAATTTAAATAAAAGAAAAGTACGGGCCTGATAAGTTACCAGGACCTTCGAGAAACTATATACTCCGGGAAAATTGTGAACGGGACCTCATACCTTAAATTATTAATTCGCCAAAGTTATTTATCTGAATGGACACTAACAAAGAGCTTGATTATCCCGCCAAAAAATTCAAACATTTTATGTGACACCGGTAAGAAAGTGTTCAAACATTGGGCATGCGCAAAAGATCACTTTTGGCCGGCCGCGCGCAAATTTCCCGCGCAAAAAACCGTGACTTACTGTCTTGTGAGTAAGTTTATCACTCTTAGATCTGTTAGATGACAACTTCGTTCAGAAACCCTGGAAACAAATAAGCAGACGTTTGACTGGCCCCGGCGTTGAACAGGCTGGGAATTAATGAGAACATTTCCTAAATATTTTGTAGGCCTCAAGTAATGACATCAAAAGGCGGTTACAGGAAAATCTCTGGTGATGACGATCATGAAGTCAGTTTTGCGTCTTCTCTTTTCTTTCGTTGGATGAACGGAGTCCTTAAGGAGGGCAGTCAAAGACCTTTGGATCAAAATGACTTTTTACCTTTGTCAGACGAAAACTCTGGCCGTTTTGTCACCGACAACCTTCGAACAAGCTGGGAAAGCGAGAAACATCATTGCAGGATAAATGGGAAAAGGCCCAAACTTTGGAAAAGTGTGTTCGATATGCTTTCTGTCAAAGATGTCATCATCATTTTGACGGCGAATATATTGTATACAATGTCTCGCCTTCTTTTTCCACTGTTTATCGGGTATCTCGTTTCTAAGCTTATGTCAGCTGAGGCAGAGAAAACTTATCTGCTTTACGCCTGCGCATTAGCTTTGTGTCTCAATGGTTTTATCGGTGGCCTTAGTATCCACCAGCAAGACTACAGATGTGAAGTGTTGGGGATCAAAATAGGCAGCGCTCTAAGGGGACTGGTGTACCACAAGGTAGGCACGATCGTAACGTCGTAATGTCTTGTGCTTTTGTCGCAAGGTCAATTCGATCTATAAGTACTTTTTCCCGAAACCTTAACCGATTGCAATAAACTTATGCTATGGTGAGACCCACAAGGAGGCCTTCATTGAACGTAAAAATTGGTTTCTGATTCTAGGAGAGAAATTTAAATTAAGAACTCAATCGATTCTGCACACCAACAAACAAACAAAGTTACAAACAGCAACCTAGTCCATTAAACCATTAAAGAGTACTTCAGAATTGTAAACTCCTACCGGGCTTTGAACCTCCAAAAATAACCTAATCATTCGAAAAATTTCTTCAAATGTGCTGATAATGGTCAGACACAACGCACCTGTTGCAAAAAATTTCTTCCACGGCTATCGCAGAAAAGATTTATTTGAGTCAAGAACGCCTCTTTGTGAAGCTCCTTACCGGTTCAAGTAGATCGCCTCGAGATGAGAGAAAGAAGAACATTACTTTCACACGTCACAAGTAGACGGTCGCCCTGCTGAGCGAGATTAAAAAATAGCGACTGATTTGTCGCATTTTTACCACATTTGAAGATAATTTGGTAAAGAATCGATTAATCTCGTCTCGATAAGCGAAAATGGAAATCATTTGTGGCGGAGATTAAAATCTTATAGGTTTTGAAACATACTTCCCCTTCAATGTCAAATCTTCACTTTCTTTCAGACGCTTCTTCTCAGCAAGCAGACGTTACTGGAATTCACTTCAGGACGCTTATTCGACCTGATATCCAATGATGTTAAAACAATGGAAGAGGAGACAGTCAAGTTTTTTTTCTTGACACCTTTTGCAGTCCTTTCTTATGCAGGAACAATATTCCTCATCTACTATTTAATTGGCTGGCAGGCTGTTATGGGTGTGTTCCTCCTGTGTATTCTCATGCCATACTTTGCCGTCTTGTCCTATGCTAACGCTAAGCTGCGCTTGCGCACAGCTACAGTGTCCGATCAGCGGATCTCCTTAATGAATCAAGTAGTTTCCGGGATCCGCGCGATCAAAACGCATGCGTGGGAGGACGAATATCGGCGAAAAATAGAACACATACGGAGGTAAGGTGAATAATTATGTTCAATCAACAACTTAGAGGTGTAAGCTGCATTAACTCTTTGTATGAATATATTTAAATTTACTTATCATATGTCTCAGTTAGAACGTGCGCTATGAACGGCTGATGTATGCGCCGATCAATTCAAAGAAGAACGAAGAACGAAATTGTTCTCACAACAATCGACTGTAGAAGTGAATGTCGATGTAAATCTCTAAAAAATAAACTTCAAATTATTTCATTTACGTCAAAACGCTTAACCTGATCAGACGGGAATATTACCAGACGGTGGAGTTCTTTATGAAATAGTTAAGATCGCATGCTCGTTCTCATTGATCGATAGGCGTGTTCAGATGAAGGTGTTTAGACAAGGTCGCACGTCTCGCCTTCCGGTGCTTTCTCACAAATACTTCATCAAAGCAATGAGAACCGTTTTTTTCTCGGCGTTTATATAGCCTCATATAAACACGAGAGGACTGGGAGAATTCTCGAAAGTTATACAAACCTTCGACTTCCACTTGGGTTTACATAAATTTTCCGACGTGAATGGCTAAAATTTAGTGGCATCCGTCATTCCCGTGATCGTTGACCTAAATTATTTTAAAGTTCGAAATGTATATCCACTAATCTATTTGTCTCTCCACTAAGAGCTTTATTACGTAAGCAACTTAAATAAGCCCTAAATAAGGCCTTAGACAGCTGAGTGAGCCGATCAGAATGCCCTTTTCATAAAGAATAAGTGTGTCACGATACCCATTTCATAACCAAAGAACTGGTCCGTTAAAACCTATTAGTATAGGGGACGCAGGTTAATACCGCTTTTCTCAAGCGCTTTTAGGCTAGTTCGGAGGTGATCATCGAGTGCTAACCACCTCCCTGTAGCCGATGAGAGAAAATACTACGTCAAGAGTTTTCGTTACATTCACAGAAATAAAGTAACTTGTTCGGTTTCTGTATCTAAAATTATTATTCACCTCTAAAAATGAAAGGGTTTGATATTCACCCACTCTTCGGAAAATATTTGTTAATTAAAAAAAGTAAAACGTCTCCCTGAATCTAACTCGTCTTCAGTTGTGCCTTATTTTTTATACGCGGTCCTAGGGTCGCGGTAGACAAGCACTTCCACGACGAAGTAGACGATGGAAAATATCTTCGAGGGAAGGGTGCACTTCTAGCGTGTTCACTCATCCATGCTTCTAAGTAAAGAGAAGACTGGGGACGAGTTTCTATAAAAGAATATCCACATAACATGCTATGAACTTTTTATCTTCAGAAATGAGATCAACGTCATTTCGAAGAGGACAGCCATTCAGTCAAGTATCGATGCCTTGTTGTACAGTGCAACGCCATTAGCTGTTCTGGTGTCAGTAATTACTATGGTGCTTACGGGCCAGACTCTCACGCCCGCCAATGTTTTTATGCTTCTATCGTTTATGGGTGTTTTAAAATTTTATGGCATGTTGAATATAACAAATGGTTTCATAAGAACATATGACGCTTACGTTTCGCTTGGAAGAATCGAAGAGTTTCTTCATTTAGAAAACTTATCAGAAGCCTCAGAGGATGATGAAAGTAAAGAAGACCCACAAAAGGCCAGGAGTACCTTCACTAAACAGAGTTACGGCTACTCAAAAAAAGAAACCGAAAATATGAGGAACGTTTCCGGTGCTCGTGAAGCAACGGAATTAGGGCCTACTAATCTATGTGTGTCTTATTTAACTTGCACAAAAAAGAATCGTGAAGATGAATTTATTCTCCAGGATATAGAGTTTGTTGCACCTTCGAAGAGTTTAACAGTCATCACCGGCCCAGTTGGAAGTGGTAAGTCTACTCTGCTTTCAGCTATTGCTGGAGAAATTTCCAACACGAGTGGCATGATTTCTTATCGAGGCAAGGCCATTTACTTGCCTCAGACTGCTTGGGTGTTCTCGGGAACGATAAAAGAAAACATCCTCTTTGGCCAACCCTACGAGGAGT